GGATCTTTTAAGGTGGTCACACTCTTCAGTCTCTCTAGAAACATCTACACCAGGGTTCTCACTAGGGATGGGTACCGGTGTCGTTCTGACATAAACGGTAGTAACCAGACCGAAAAGCAGCGCACATTTCGGTGCTTTATTTCGGTGCTTTTTTTTCCTGAGCTGTGATACACTTTAGATTCTAGCCAATCATTTTACGTTTCCGAGGATAGTAGGCGGGTCCAGGTACGTTCTTTTAGAGCAGAGCTACAGATTAAAAATGCCCAAGTCGAAGCGGTCAAAAGTCTGGCTGTACTTCACAGCAAAAGATGCAAACTCAGCAGCAACAAGTGCTTTAAGCTGATACTGTGATACTGTCAAAGGAGGTAACACCTCAAATCCGATGAAACACCTGGCGACGCATAGCGTTTTTTTAAAAACCGAGAAATGCACCGTATTTGATAGCTTGCTGCAAGACCTCACACCGAGCACATCTACTGCGAGTGGGTTGCCTGTTATCGGACCCGGAGCAACATCCCCCAAAAACCCGAAGAACAGAGTCCTGGCCCCTAGCCCTGCCAGTGTAGCAGAAATGATGACGGATGATGATGCAGCAGCAGCCGTTCTTCTCTGCGTGAGTAGCTTAATGTTGTTCGTGTGTAATTTACGTTGAGTAGGCTAACCACGTTATTACATTAATGTATGTAAGGTGAACTAGCAAACATCATCATAGCTACATGCGGCTGTCCTCTTGTTTGATGGCAGATACTCCCTTCACCCTGGCCAAAAAGGCTAAAATGACCAAAGAAAAAGTGGGAAACAGCTGAACATGAGAGGTTTTTGGACAAAGTTTGTGTTTTTCCATTGTTTAAGCACTGCTTCCAGCCAAGAGTGATGCCATATATGCCCCATAGCTGCAGAAAAGGCTAACATTGTTATCTTTTTACAAAAAAACAGCTGAACATGAGGTTGTTGGACACAAAATTGTGTTCTCCATTCTTTAAGCACCGGTTTGAGCACCGTTTAAGCACCGGCACCGTTTCAAAAGTACCGATTTGGCACCGGTATCGGATAAAACCTAAACGATACCCATCCCTAGTTCTCACAAAGTTAGTCAAAGTTTGGATTCATGAGGAAGAATAGGTGCTTAGTCCTGTTTGTGGATCACAGGATCAGCTCTTTACACTTTTGAAGACACTCGAAGGTGAATGGAGAGTTTGCCCAGCAGTTCAGTTCAGTGGACTTGCAGATATTTGACTGCGTCCCCTGTAGTGTCCTGTGGGGAAGAAGCTGGAAGTATGAGCTATCAGGCCTGTTGATGGGCTGTTCAGAGTTTTCCTGACATTACTGCAGACTGATTCCTGATAGGCTGAACCTTTTCACCAATTCTGTTCATAACCTTTATATAAATGATTTATAGATGTGAGTTGATGTTTGATGGTCTCAGGATTATATTTTAATGTTTGTCATTTGTGTTCATTCTTTTTGTTCACTGACTGCTAAAAGTCACAGATTCTGAAAAAGTGTTAGGGTTAAGATGAAGAGTTAGGGTTAGCTTTACTCTTCAGTGATGACTTAGACCACACGAGGTTACAGTGGAAGTTCTTTTTTATTATTATTAATATATTAATCTCTTCATGTATCAAACAAACAGTCTGGAGTTTCTGATGATTTCAGTGGGCATCAGTGTGAGACTGACTTCACTCTGACCAACAGCTGCACTCAAACAGAAACACTTTAGAAGTTAGCATTGATGCTACGGCTATCTTCCAGGTAGGGTTGCCAACCGTTCCTTAAAAAACGGAATGTCCCGTATTTAGAAACAAAAGCACACGTCCCGTATTGAGCTAATAAGGGACGCACTTTGTCCCGTAATACAGTGAGAATCAAAAGTAGTCTATAAATGTTAATGGAATTATAATTGTTTGAAATCATAATTGCCAGCCCCTCTCCTGCTTTGTGACCAATGAGCTGACAGCACACTTATGACAATTCGAGTATGACAATTCAGATTACCGCTCATCTCATTGGTCGAGGAAAGGTCGCTTACGGAGAAAATACCGGAAGACAACAGATGACCACAACAAGAAGCATGGCCAAAACAAACGCCGACACTGTGGTGCAAGTCTCGGACGACAGTACACCTAAAGCTGGGCAAACACTGTGCGATTTTTTTCAGTCGCGTTATTCAGCTCCTGCTCAAACTGCACGATTGACTCGCAGGAGTTAGAAGTTGGTAGGTCACGATCAGGGTCTCACACTATACCGCCCGATGCTCTGATGCGACCTGAGTGCGCACACTGTGCCTCCATAAAATGAAGGTTATAACAGAAAATCTGTTGCTCTCCCTCTCTGTCTCTGTCTTTCACTCACACAGACACACCACCACCATCAACTTTGCTAAATTGCTAATGAAAAACATTGATCAGGCAGCTGTGATTGAGCAGCAGTGTAAATCCAACTATTTTCACGGTTGTTGTGGTCGTGATAATTTTGTGATGCCACATCGAAAAGGCTCGGATGAGCTTTCCAAAGTTCCACAAGTTGTGCCTCCATCGCTTGTGTCCAGATCACACGCCGCACAGCCGTGCTGCTCCATCTTTTTCACCGACGTTTACGTGTTTGCGCGTGAGCAGTGTGAGCGGCTGTGGTGACACAGCCGCTTCTCGTTAACCCACGTATACTAAACGATGCACGATGAAGGCCAAAATCGGGCCGATCACCAAATCGGTCACACGACTCAAAAATTGTCTCAAAATGGGCCAAAAATCGCACAGTGTGCGCCCAGCATTAGAGCAGCAATGTTTGTTCCCCTCAGAGAAAGAAAAAAAAAGGCTGCAAAAGTACAGGGAGGAATGGGAAAAGGAAAACACCTGGCTGGGAAAATGCACGATAACACCTATAAAGTGCACTGTACTGTGTGACGGCGCACTTTTTCCATAGGCATGCTTCTAGTGGTGGGCACATGAAGAACATGAGGGGTGTGAAAGCTCGGGGAACCCTTAACCAATTTTTTGTCCACCAGGCCACGGCAGAAGCATATATGCAGTGTTGGGAAGGTTACTTTTAAAATGTATTCCATTACAGAATACAGAATACATGCCCCAAAATGTATTCTGTAACGTATTCCGTTACGTTACTCAATGACAGTAACGTATTCTGAATACTTTGGATTACTTAATATATTATCATGCTTTTTACAACAACGTGAATGTACTATTGCTGTGTGATTTATTACTATTACTGAAGGTCCGCGACTCCGAACTGTAGTAAAGGGACCTCTGACTAATACGGCGGGGTCCCTGTTGGCTCGCAGCCGAAAAATAGCTTTACTTTGTTGTGTGGGTCAATTTTTCTTGCGAGGGACAGAGAGAGGCGTTGAAAGGCTGCTCCAACAGAACTTATTGTTTTCGGAGGAAAACACGAACACGGTGTACAGTCGAGTCTTAATAGCTTACTTACAACTGGGCTCGTCAGGCACTCTTCTTGGCTGAAGTGGTTATTATTATATTTACATGCTTCCAGCTCCCGTTTTTGCTCGATGACAACTCGTACCGTACCACTCCCCTTTTTCTCCCTCCTCGCGCTCACAGACCCATAACGTGTATGGCAGTCAATTCTCCCTGCAACACGGACTACACTGCCCATGATGCTACATTCTTTAGAGCTATGCTTGTAGCATTCTGCCTGTTAGCTTAGCACAACAACAACGAAAAGGCGCTCTCTCACCCAGGAAACACACAGTCGCAGAGAGAGAGAGAGCGTCGCCCGGTAACCATGGCAACCGTAACGCTGCCGCCTGGAACAACAGAACGTAGCTGTCAAACAAAACCCAAACAGTCCTGACCCGCGACAAAATGAAACAGGGAAGTACTGCAGTGTAATCCATTTATTTCAACAAAGTAACTGTATTCTGAATACCACCTTTTAAACGGTAACTTTAACGGAATACAGTTACTCATATTTTGTATTTTAAATACGTAACGGCGGTACATGTATTCCGTTACTCCCCAACACTGCAGATATGGTATGTAAACACTGGTTTGTTTTTTTTAAACCCTCTGGTTAAGGTTAATATGGGCATGTGCAGTCAATATCAGCGCTATGTGGCCAGAAGTGTGATAATATAATTTATTTTGTGTAATAAACAACTGCAAGGATAGATGATTACAACAAATAGATCACTAATACATAAAAGTAATACATAGATGAATAATGATGATGAGTTATGATGCGTAATCATGGGAACAAGTGGGTTTTAAAAACAGGAGCAGCTGATTAGCATTAGAAAAGCTGAAATAATACCTCAACTGAAGCCAATTGTACTAAATGCACTATATGTGCACTGTTACAAGAATGTTTTTCATTCTATTGTTTTCTATTAATTTATATAATTTTAAGTTAAGCAGGACAGAGTTCTTTTAAAGAAAGATTTACTTATATTCTCAAAAGTTAAGCATGACAGGCTTCTGTTTAAGAAAGAGACCTGTTTTACTGTGTTAATGTTGTCATTCACCTGCTGCAGCTCCAACCACTGCTCAGAGAAGGACTGGCCAGCTGTGGATTTCAGTAGAAGTTTCAACTCTGCTGATCTTTCATTTCCCACTCTGAGCCCAGTAACTATGGCAACAGACAGGCATCACTGCTGAACCATGGCAACAGAAGGTTTCAGTACTAAAGATAAAAACACAAACACTGACTTCACGTTTGACATTGTTTAAAATAAATACACAAATTCAAAGGTCAAAGGTCAATCACATAAAAAATACAATTAGATGAATTAGTCGACTTTATCTTTATCTCTCATCTTAATCCTTGAGCTCATTGGTTAATCTAATCAAAATATCAACTTGTAAATAATGTAAATATTGTGATGTTCTCAGCTCTGAGCTGTAAACAGCTGCAGCTGACTGACTCTGTGTGTTTGCATATGTGTCCTGCCTCTCTGCTCCTGAAACCTCAGGATGGTTTTCAGACAGAACAACAGTTAAATTGAAACACATGAAAATCACCATTTGAAGATTTTTTATTTTTTTAATCATTAGCAATACTACAAGCAGTAAAACATGAGATTTGAATTCAGAGTGAAACAGAGACAGAGAGAGAACAGACTGAGGGCAGCAGCAGAGTCTCAGTGAGTCAGGTCACAAATGTGAACACTGATCTCTGCTCAGTATCTTTGAGACCAGAGGTTGGGAGTCCTTGGTGGCCTCACAGGTCACAGAGCCCACCTTCATCCACTGGTCTGCAGTGATCCTCAGGGTGCTGCTCCAACTATACAGGGCGTCATTCTGCAGCACTCCAGGGCTCCTGCTCTCCTCCCCGTCACTGCTGCTTCTTCCATCCACCTTCCAGGACAGAGTCCAGTCTGAGGGGAAGCCCTTGTTGGCCAGACATGTTAATGTGGCCTTCCCCTGCTCCAGCTCCTTAACGGAGGGGGGCAGCACTGTCAGGGTGGGACGGGTGTCATCTAGGAAACACCAATCAGATTAGAGGACACGAACCACAAGTTGTTTGTCTCCTTTAAGAAGTTTCTGTCAGGTGTTTTTTCTGCTCCACCAGTCACTCACTCACACATTGTTTCACTTCCCTTTAAGAAACCTCTCATGCATATCAGCACAGAGAGAATCATCACACAGTTTGACCTGAAATATGTTCAAACTACACTGGAAATAAAAGAAGCAGATGTGGAAACAAGTTTTTCTTTAAAACCATGTAAAGTCTGAATCATAGACGATTAGATATCAATCATTAAGCATCTTCGATTCAAAGGCCCATCTGACACAATAACACTTTGGATTTTACACATTTTCTAATCCCCTTTTCAAATAAGAGTTATTATTTGGAAAGTTTAGAAACTAATCGATGGATAATGAAGTTTAATATTGGTTCCAGATAAAAATTCCCTTTCTCTGTGACAGAAATTTAGACAAAAAAAACCATCTGCTCTGAGTCACCTTCCATCATATAACAGCAGAATAACAAATGTTAAAATTGTCATAAAAAATTAAAAATTAATCTTTCAAGCTCTCTAAGACTAATTTTAAGATCCACCTTTTTCAAATTTCATAATAAAAGCAGTTTAATTAACTTACTTCCAAATTCCAGTCTGGTTCCTCCACCAAAAGTCCACCACAGTGATACAAACTCATTGAGCCGCTGTACAAAAACCTCTGACTGTAGAGAGACACGGCTCTCTGACTCTGTTAGACTGAACTAAACCTACAAGCCCTCAAAATAAAACTTTACATGGAAACTAGAAATAATCATTCATACTGTGAACTACCCCACTCTCAATTATTCACTGTAATAACCTTTCACATATAAATTTCCAAATATGACTTTTGGAGCAAAAATATTAATAAGAAAGCTAAACATTAACATTCAACATTTTCAATTAAGGAATAAAAATTAAAAGAAAAAATGAATAAATCAGCTTTATTTTTAACTTACTTCCAAATTCCAGTCTGGTTCCTCCACCGAACGTGAACCACGGTGATACAAACTCATTGAGGCGCCGTACAAAAACCTCTGACTGTAGAGAGACACGGCTCTCTGACTCTGAGACAAACAAACTCAACAAAATCATTCACTGTTTGTCCAACACACTTCATGCACAGACAGTCACAACAAAAAAAGTATTATGTCTTGTAGTTGCAAATTTTCATGTATCAGTACATAAAAAATAAATTGTTCTTAAATTAGATATTGAATTACCCTATTTTTCGGACCATAAGGTGCACTGGATTATAAGGCGCATTAAGCGAAACAAAACAGTCAGATAAGTTAAACTTTACTCATCTCATTCTTCTTGCTTCCTACACATCCGTACCATTGACTCATTAATGTTGAATTCTCTCGCAGCTGCTCTATTCCCATGTTGTTGCCGTATATTAATGACTAATCTCGTATTGTGGATGGATTATCTCAGTTGTTCTGAAGTTTGGTTTGTTTACAGCATCCTGCCATGCAATTGTATTTGTCCCTAACCTTCAGGAACCCTCGTGTTAACTTTTATCCAGTGGAAAAAAGTTAGTATTCATCCTCCAGCTTCACTGTGTTTATGTCATGCTAACATGTGTTGCTAGCGATCACGTAGCACATCGTTATATAGCAGCTAGCCCAACTTCAGTAACCCTACAAACGTCACTGCTGTTTAGTTTTCTGTCTTCATTTATGTTGGAAGTGATAGCAGAGCTGTACCTTTTCATTTTTAAGACATCTCTCAGTCAGAACATACTATATCATGTTTAGGTGGAAACCGGCGAGCTAACTTCCTGCTAACTTTTTTTTTTTTTTTTGTCCCGTTTGGATCTATAGCCATCAGAATTGTTGTCTTAAGGCCAAGAAAGATGCCAAGCGGATTTATTTTACCAAGTGGATCATCGTGGCCTTGCCATATTGGTCCATTTGATTGACCTTTATTATAATTATGAATTTATTTTATTTTCAGTTGTTACAAACGGGACAGACATGACTGTGGGATAGGACAGGGGGAAAGAATGAAAGAGAGGGAGAGAAAGAAAACCAAAGGGGAGAAGAGACGGTGAGAAGGGGGGGAAGAGAGAAAAAACAAACAAACGAACAAACAAAAAAAACAAAACACCTGGATCACCTGTATGGAAAAAAAAAACAGAAGAGAAAGCAAACAACAAAGAGCAACATAATAAGAAAAAAAAAGCACCATCACAATAAACTAGCTAGCAGTAGATATCAATAGTTACTAAATAATAAACGATATTGTGCAGCACGCAAGATAGACAGCGCACAATGTGCTTTGAGGCAGCAGCCAAGAAAGCTGTAGTCCGCGTCTGTGAATACCCGTGTGTACACCTGTGTGCATACCTGTGTGGATCAGCATGCTTGCATTCCAAAGGTTTCTCCATGTAATGATCTGCTAGGGAGTGTGGGGAGCCACAGCCCCGTCCTCTATGGTATCAAGCAGGTATGGAGGAGATCAAAACTCCAGACATCCAGAGGCCCCCAGAACACAAGAGACCAAGGAAGACCCACAGAGGGGCAGCCGCGCCACTGTCCCAGTAAGAGCTGAGGAGAGTCCCAGATGAGGGCTCACTCAGCAGCCGCGGAGCAGAAGCCAGGGGGCGTTGCAGTGACCCGCCCGTGAGCTCAGCCAGCTGTGCCTGAGTGACCGAGCCCCTGCCTGAGTGACCGAGCCCCAGGCCAAGAGGCCGGGGGCACCCCACCTCTGAAATGGCCCGAGCGAGCCCCAATAAGCGGCCGCCAAGGAGTGAGCCGGTGTGTACCTGGACGCCCATCCCCGGACACAAAGAACCACCAATGCACCGACACCTGAGGGAGTCCGCCACCGGCAGGGGAAGTGGTGGTGGGTGGAGATAGGCCCTCCAAGGTTTGGAGGCCCTGAGATGTCCCCAGAGAGGTGGTGTCTGATACCCAACCTGACATATAGACACAGACATACAGGCACACACAGACACAAACATCCATTCCCACCCTCATGCTCTCATATGCACTCACTCCACACTCAACCGACGTGGAGACAGACATAAAGAGACGCTGTACACACGATCACACTCCCCCAAGTGTACTCTACCAACTGGGTCTAGGTACCCTTGCCCCTGGAGGGGGGAACCGCACCCAGACCCAGGTGGTGTTACCCTTTTCCCTGCGGTGGGGAGAGGCAGACCGCCCCGACTCCGCAGCAGCAGGGGGGCCCCACACCCCAGACCGCAGTCGGACGGCCAATTCCTCCTAGCCCCCCCGCTCCAGCAGGCCGCAGAGAACGGGGGTGAGAGAAGACTCCAAACCTCCCTCCACCCGCTCATTGTAGTGTTGATGCATGTGTGTTCTAAGGTGCAATTAAAACCCAGAAGGGCATGGAGCTACCTGCCAGAGAGCAGCACTTCCTGCTAACTTCTAACTCCATTAAATTTGATAAATCTTGTTTTCATGGATGGCTGGATGTTAAAATTAGTTGTTACACCTGGTAAAGCAGCAATGTTGACCATTTTATTGAAGATGAAAGAATTTAGACAGTTTAAACTCTCACTGATGCCGCAGTGTTCGTTTGTAACCAGAGTTTGTAACCAGATTACTCGACATGGCTCCTGACTACAGTAGCCGTAATGCTCCGACAATCCATCAAGCAGTGCGGCTTCATAGCTTACCAAAGTTGTAGTAAAACATTTTTGAGCACCGTGTAAATAAGCACAACCAGAATTCATACATAAGGTGCACCGGATTATAAGACGCACTGTCGATTTTTGAGAAAATTAAAGGATTTTAAGTGCGCCCTATAGCCTGAAAAATACTGTAAGCAAACAGTGACATTTTGTCATTATTTCTTAACACAAATTAAACCAAAATGCATCAGTTTGTTAAACATTATGTATACAATTACTGCTTCTAAAGAAATTGAGAAAGTAAGTAGCTGCCAAATGCTTTTATTCAAATGCATTTTGTATCACCAGCAAGTGTGAGCAGCTCAATAAACACAGAAGTTTGGGTTGTCTGATGATCTGGATCATTGCGGTGTTTCTTAACATAATCTAACAAGTAAAATATCAGAAGTTGTGTTTCTGAGTGGAAAACATTCAAGACTTTCCAGGAGCAGACCTCCCAGAAATGTTCTGAAAGAAAGGTCAGACTGTGCAATTTTTACTATTGGTGTGCGAATCAATATTGAAATATCCAATCCTCTGATACCAGTTATTTATGTTCTAGAAGAGATTCACTTATTAAAATATTGATATTTTAGTAATTTGTGGAAAATTGATAGTTTATCATTAACAGGAAAAAGAAACTATATCATTTGGATGTCTAACTTGCAAGAAACGACTTCCTCTTCCGACTTTCATAGACATATGTGTCGCAGTGCGTGCGCACTCACAATAATTGCTCAGCGTAAACAGAGTCATGTGTGGTACAAGATTTGTGAGTATGTCGTCATTCAAAGGTAAGTCAGCTCGAGTACTGCGAGTAAAATGCGTTTGATTTTCCCCCAAACATTCGAATTAGTGCAGCATAAATTCATTCATGAAGGGAAATTAAAGTGAGAACATGTGGAGGCTGTTAGATTGATAACATAGTGAGTTCAGTGCATTGATAGACATTGTCCTGAAGGATTTGGTTATTCTTTATGGTTAAAGAAATTCCAATGATTTATTCATATTTATTATAAATAATTCTAATTATACATCTTGCTTCCATGTTTGAGTCCTGTGTCACTAAAAATACATTTTATTATAGTTTTATACATTGATTAATGACCTGCAGAATCTCCTTGTCATATTAGGTGTCCATAATTTTCACTTAAAGTCAAACTTTTTGCTTTCTCCATCTTGAAAGTGATTACATCCTTGCATTACATACTTTAGGTTCATTTTCTGCAGGCGGGTTTCTGAAAGAGAACAGGCAGATTTATACTATAACATGCAGCGTTCTATAGATGGACACATAAAAAAAATGAAAAATTAGATGTATGTGCTAACTTTCTAAACACTTTGTTACATTTATGATAAAGTAGAGGGTGGGCCATTTATATGGATACACCGTAATAACACGGGAATGGTTGGTGATATTAAAGTCCTGTTTGTGGCACATTAGTATATGTGAGGGGGCAAACTCCTCAAGATGGGTGGTGACCATGGTGGCCATTTAGAAGTCGGCCATTTTGGATACAACTTTTGTTTTTTCAATAGGAAGAGGGCCATGTGACACATCAAACTAATTGGTAATGTCACAAGAAAAACAATATGAACATATTTCGAACTTACCGGAATGAAAATGTCTGGAGCACACCTACGGATATTTGGAGATGGAAGAGAACTGCATATCAGCTCATCTCACAGCTGCTATCCAGGCTAGACGCCTTCTTTTGGTAACATCCGATACATGAGCTGCCTCATGTTGCTTCCAGGTGGGGAAAGAATGACCCAGAAACATGGTGCCTCAAACAAAAATAGTGGCCACGCCCCCTCTCGTGACATCACGCTCCAAAGCCCTATAGTCTCCTCCTCCTACACTAAACCCCCCACAATGGAAAAATGTTATTCTCATTATATATGCTCCCCCTAGGCTTAATCTTTGAAAAATATAACATTTCTCATCACATGTATGCCGATGATATACAAATTTATTTTCAATTAGATGACGACGACATTGCTCCTTCATTGCACTGCTTCCTCGAGTGCATGAGAGAAGTCAGAGAATGGCTTTCAGACAATTCCCTTATCCTGAATGAAAAGAAAACGGAGATTGTGGTGCTTGGCAACCATATCCCTTGGGGCCTATCAGCTCATACCTTTGGTTCCTTCGCCACTTCTTTCTCTGACTCAGTTAGTGACCTAGGTTTCCTGCTGGATAGCTCTTTCAAATGTAATGAGAGATAATATAACTTGAAATAATTGAAATACAGACACAATTGAATACACAAACAAAAGGTATCAAGCTGTGTTGACTTTATCCCCAAAATTTGAATCTGTTCATCTGGTCATAGCGTCACTCATCCAAGTGACTTCTTTAGTCTCAGCTGACTGCAGGTTTCCCCAACCTTATGAACAGGACATTTCCACAATGACTGAAACCAGCACCACTGAGTGAAAAATGGGCTGTGAGGTCAGTTCCTTTATCATTAATATGCAAATTTTCATGGCCATTGATCAGTGGTCTTTGATTATACTATAGTGTGGATGGAGGAACCAGGAGTTACACAGAGTCAACATGAAAAACACACTAACTTCATTTTCTTTTCTTTCTTTCTTGAGGTGAAACGTCTTCAAGCAACTCAAAGAAGTCCAGACGCTT